CGTGCGGGAAGACAAGGCCGGCTGGGATTTTCTCTCCCCCCAGAAAGAACCGGGGGTTAAAAGCAAGGGGGGGAAAGGTGGAATTTTTTAGTTTGTTCCGGTGGGTTTAAAGCTGCCCTGAAGAAAGCAGCCCCGCAGAGAGCGGAATGGAGGGGTCGTGATGTTTAGGCTCCCCCGGGAAGGCGGAGGTGCCCGCCGGGATCCCGGGGATCCCACCGCCCCCCCAAATCCGGGCGCTCCCCGTGTTGGCGGAGCCGGGAGCAAAACGAAACGAACCGCAGAGAAAGGAGAAGGGGTGTGTGTGTGTGAAATAACAGCAGGGCCACAGCAGAGCGGGGAAATGGGGCTGCGGAAGAGAGACGGGGCTGGGGGAAAAGGGGACGATTCCGTCCATACGGGCAGGGAAGGGCTCCCAGCTGCCAAGCGATTAATAGCCGGCTGAAAGGGAAAGAAACAAATCCAATGGCGCACAATCAATAAAATCCCCCTTCTTTAACCCTTTGCGACCAGCACCGTCTTCTCTGAAGGGTGAGGCGATTTCTCCAGCAATGGGTCCAGCTCCTGCCCCTTTCGTTACACAACAACAGCAACAACAAAAATTTAAAAATCAGATTCCACTCGGAGGGATCCATCTGCTTTTTGCTGCCTTTTTTTTTTTTTTTTCCCCTTGTATTTTTATTTATAATTTCCGAACGAAAAACCCAAACCCCAACACCTGCAATATCCAGTTTCCCGGCCTTCTGCTGCCGAGCCGTTGCAGCCGGGTTGGGAAAGCAGTCAATCTTTCCGAAGCCAGGCCGTCAGAGATACGAAATGGATTATTACCCTCTCAGAATAAAATTACAGGTTTCGCTCACCAAATTACTTGTCGCAGTCATCAGACGATTGGTAAAGAGCGGTAGATGAAAGGCGGAAACCTGGTGTTGAGCCACAGCCTGATTTCAAACACACTCTCTTCCTCCAACGATTTTTAATGCATTTAAGGAGAGAGACCCACGGTGGGTTTCCCACCTCGGAAGGACCGACCTGGAGAAGCGGCACAGGGACAACCCGGAGGGAGAGACCCACCAAAAAGCCCTGGCTGACCCCCTTCTTGTCCCCCTCCTCAGCCGGCCGGCTGGGATGGCCGCCCTGTGGCCTCCCCCGAGTTCGTTTCTTTATTTCCCCGCTGGTTCCCGCCGCCTGCGGGGCAGCAAACAGGGGCACGGCACCGGCAGGACCCCCTTTTCTCCGAGGAGCACACGGGCAAAAAGGCAAGGGAAAAGGGAGGTGAGAGCAGTTTGGGGAGAGGGAAGTGAGGAGAGGCCGGGGAAGCGGGATCCGGAGGCGGGGACCGGCCCCGGCAGCACCGACTGCCGCTGCCCCGCTGGGTGCAAATAACAAACCGGGAAAGACGTGAGGCTGCCCGTGAGCCAGGTGATTTGGGGCAGCTGCGGGGTGAAGCCGCAGACACCGCAGCTGGGTTCCGGCCAATTGTTTTGCTGTTAGGGGTTTTTTTTAAATTCTTATTATTGATTTTTACATACACGGTGCTCCCCAGGTTGTGTTTGACAATTTTAATTTATCCCGGTCATCTCCTGCTCCTGCTTATTCCCTTCACCTATTTATTTATCGAAGGAAATTTTAATACAAAAAACAAAACAAAACACAAAACAAAAAAAAACCCAAACTAAACAAAAAAACCAACACTGAAAATAAAAAGGAAACTACAGTCCGATTTCTCCTGCGAGTAAGGGTGGAAGAATAAAATTGTTGCTCTAAAAAAGTCCTCTCGAGTGTGTTTGGGGAAGGTGTTTTTCTAATCTCTATTTTACCCTGTTGTCCAGGGAATGAAACCAGCCCGGAGAGCTTCCTATTGCACAATGCACTGGCCAGGAAACCCAAACGGGGAGGTGAGAGCAGTTTGGGGAGAGGGAAGTGAGGAGAGGCCGGGGAAGCGGGATCCGGAGGCGGGGACCGGCCCCGGCAGCACCGACTGCCGCTGCCCCGCTGGGTGCAAATAACAAACCGGGAAAGACGTGAGGCTGCCGGTGAGCCAGGTGATTTGGGGCAGCTGCGGGGTGAAGCCGCAGACACCGCAGCTGGGTTCCGGCCAATTGTTTTGCTGTTAGGGGTTTTTTTTAAATTCTTATTATTGATTTTTACATACACGGTGCTCCCCAGGTTGTGTTTGACAATTTTAATTTATCCCGGTCATCTCCTGCTCCTGCTTATTCCCTTCACCTATTTATTTATCGAAGGAAATTTTAATACAAAAAACAAAACAAAACACAAAACAAAAAAAAAAACCCAAACTAAACAAAAAAACCAACACTGAAAATAAAAAGGAAACTACAGTCCGATTTCTCCTGCGAGTAAGGGTGGAAGAATAAAATTGTTGCTCTAAAAAAGTCCTCTCGAGTGTGTTTGGGGAAGGTGTTTTTCTAATCTCTATTTTACCCTGTTGTCCAGGGAATGAAACCAGCCCGGAGAGCTTCCTATTGCACAATGCACTGGCCAGGAAACCCAAACGGATCCGTACAGCTTTCTCCCCATCCCAATTACTGAGACTGGAACATGCCTTTGAGAAGAACCATTATGTAGTAGGAGCAGAGAGAAAACAGCTGGCACATAGCCTCAGCCTCACGGAAACTCAGGTAAGGGGGAAGCAGGGACTGGGCAGCTGGGAAAGAGAAAGTGCTGGGATGTCCTTGGGAAAACCCACCCGGCCGGTCCGGAGATGTGGGGAAAAAAAATACGGGCAAATTCTGGGAGTATCTAGGCCTTCATCCCCGAGCCGGTGGAGCACAGCGAAGGTTCTCCCCCTCGCCTGCGTGTTATGAAACCCTCTCCCGTTGCTGAGAGCCACGGTTTGTGCCGGAGAAGCGGGGCCGCTGCCGGGCGTGGGGACCCGGGGGCTTGGGGCAGGGTTTGGGTCTCCGAGCAAAGACCCTGCCCGAAGGGGAAGGGGAGCGACGGCATCCGTGGTCTGCAAACGAAAGGCTGCCCTGGCCATTTTGCCGTGGCACTGGCATGACCCTCAAGAAGTAGTTGAATGTGTAGGGGTAAAAGCTCCCCCCACCCTCTCGAGAAGGAGGAGGGGAAATCCTCTTTGCACCCTACGAGGGAAATAGAGCTTCTTGGATGATTTTTTCACTTGCTTCTACTCCGTGCCGGGCAGCGTGGTTATGAGGAGCCGGTTCAGGAGGGCATAAAGATGAAAAATAAAAGCAGAGAAATTATTAACAACAAGGAATGCCACCCCCCCCCCTTCCCCTCCCCAAACCTCCTCTCCCGCTGGCTGGCTGCGGGCCAGAACCGCACCGGAGAATATTTCGCTCTTCAACCCGCAGGGATGATTAGCGACGTTTCTGCTCCTCTTGTCCCGGGGCAAGGGTCTCTCTCGGCCGGTACCGAGGCCGGACACCGGCGAGGGCTGAGGGAGAGCGGGGCTGGGCTCAGGTTCCCCCCCACCCCCCGACGGCGGGACCCAGGACCGGCTGCGAGGGCGTTTTTCACGCTGTTTTCTCCGCGGGGGGGGAGTTGTTTGTTGTTGTTGTTGTGTCGGGCTTTTGTTTTGTGCCCTTCCACGAGACTTGTGGAGAGAGGGCTCCGAAAGGGGGGTTGGGGGGGGGATGGTCTCTGCTACAGTATGTGGCACTGGACTAAAAAAAAAAAAAAGCCAGAATACTCAGCCGCAGCCTAGTTCAAAGTTCCCAGTAAACACAGTGTTCTCTGGGAGGATTAAGTTGTAACACTTTTTTTTTTTTTTTCCTTTTTCTTTTTTTCTTTCCCCCTTTTTTTTTTCCTCCCCCCTTAAACTCTTTTTCGTGGGGGAAGCAATAAAGAGGTTGGAGCTTTTGTTTTAAAATGTCTCCCTAACAAAACAATAAAAAGGGATCGCCACTTTTATGAGGTTCTCCGAACAAGGGACCGGTCACAGGCTTATTTCCACTGGAAAGCTGTATTTAAGGTGGTCTTTGTGCTGCTTGATTCCGAAGCTGGTTGGGGTCTTTTGTCCGGATGTCAAACCCCCAGCCCCCTACAAATGAGCTCCCTTTTGGGAGATCAGCGTGCAGAAATGAACCGTCCTCCCCTTCAATTAGCAAACTAAAAGCAAATTAAACTCACCCCTTGTTCCCCGCTCAGCTTTTTAATGGGGGACTTTTGGAGAATATGAAAATGCAGCAGAGATGTGTGTCCGGCCAAGCAGGTCTCTGTTCTGAAGAGGCAGCGAAGCGGGTTAAACCAGCTTATTAAAATGCTCTGGTTCCCTTTTCCCCCCTTGCTGGAGCCTTTATCAGGCACTTTCAGACAGAACCACAGTTTAAACTGCTTTTTTTTAAAAAAAATGTTTACCTTTGGCAGCTACAAGGAGTGTGGCCGGCCCTGGAGATAGCTCCCAGATCAATACTATCTGTAATTAAAGCACTCAAGTCAGCTGCCGGATGGCTAAGTCACATTTATTCGGCGCCGCACAATTTCAGAAGGATATTCACGATGGCACTTGCAGGTTCTGCCGCGCTCTGATCGCTGCTGGACGGCGCGTCCCGGGGAGACGCTGCGGGAGCTCCGGACATTTTTCATTTCGGGACTTTTTCTTTCATTTTATTCTCTTTTCCAAGAGGAAAAGATCTCGCTCCGCCGCCCCCTTGGCCAGGTCTCGCAGCCCCGTTAGGAGAGGCGAGGCCTTCGCTCAGCGTCACCGGGCCGGACCCGGGGGTGCCGGTGCCGGGTGGGGGGGCCTCGCAGCCCACCGCGCTCCCCCGCCTGGCCCCGTTCGCCTTCCACCT